CAAAGGTATAATCTATGTAGGGTCCATCTATACCTGTATATACCATAACCAAAGGTATAATATATGTAGGGTCCATCTATACCTGTATAGACCATTACCAAAGTATAATCTATGTAGGGTCCATATATACCTGTATAGACCATTACCAAAGATATAATCTATGTAGGGTTCATCTATACCTGTATATACCACTACCAAAGGTATAATCTATATAGGGTTCATCTATACCTGTATAGACCATAACCAAAGGTATACTCTATGTAGGGTCCATCTATACCTGTATATACCATTACCAAAGGTATAATCTATGTAGGGTCCATCTATACCTGTATAGACCAAAGGTATAATCTATGTAGGGTCCATCTATACCTGTATATACCATTACCAAAGGTATAATCTATGTAGGGTCCATCTATACCTGTATAGACCATTACCAAAGATATAATCTATGTAGGGTCCATATATACCTGTATAGATCATTACCAAAGATATAATCTATGTAGGGTTCATCTATACCTGTATATACCATTACCAAAGGTATAATCTATATAGGGTTCATCTATACCTGTATAGACCATAACCAAAGGTATAATCTATGTAGGGTCCATCTATACCTGTATATACCATTACCAAAGGTATAATCTATGTAGGGTCCATCTATACCTGTATAGACCATTACCAAATGTATAATCTATGTAGGGTCCATCTATACCTGTATATACCATTACCAAAGGTATAATCTATGTAGGGTTCATCTATACCTGTATAGGCCATAACCAAAGGTATAATCTATGGGGTTCATCTATACCTGTATAGGCCATAACCAAAGGTATAATCTAGGTAGGGTCCATCCACATCTGTATTGACCATTACCCGCGATAGTGTCACCGGTATATACCAAATATGGACGATACAATCTACCCGCGGAACACGCAAGAATGATTCAGTACATAAACTATGGTACAAACATATATTGAGTTGCAGGTCTGCTTATCCTAAGCGACCGTAAGATATGAGATCATGATCTCATTATATTAACAATTCCAGTGTGCTATTTCATATGATCTTTGTATACTTTTGGGTCATTTAGATTAATGTTTAGGTATGCATAGTTATATTGTTATTGTTATTCGACAACACCGTTGATTCTTCTGAAGCAAGTGAGTGAATTGTCAACGCCAAGACTCCTGTACATAAAATGTAACATCAGACCAGTGCGCATTATCATAAAGGGACCATAATTACGTTGTAGCATGGCTCGGCGTATCATGCATTTTTAATAAGATCACGAGAACTGGGGGAAAAAAAGAGTGCCACAAGCAGCTGGTTCTTGTGATGTCATGCATGCATTCCACACACTGTAGTAGTATACAAAACGTTTACAGTTCGTGTTTCATTGTCGCTGTTGACAACCAACACGAGCACGTCTCGCTAACACGTGTGTAATACAGGTAAGTGCTAACAAAGAAAATGTATTTTTGTATTTGGTGACAGTTCTCTGACATCATTTTAATTGTATCCGGTAAAATGATCAGATTATGTTGATTATATCGCTAGAATACTTGTTGATATCATTGTAACGAATATAAAGCTCCAATCATCGCGGTCAGAAAATAATAAAATCGAATAACAAGGAGTATTATTAACAAAATATTTAAGATAACAACAACAACAACAACCTCGTATGTTTTATGTTTTACGAGGTACATTCACGATGTGCATGTAGCCACGTAGGTAACACGTCAGCAAAACGATAAAATAATACGTTCGTATATGTGCCTACACTGTCTAAATCAGGTGGAGTATACATTTATTATACCACACTGCCTAGAACGAGTAATATAAATATAATTTAATATACCACGCTATAGCAGCACTGACTAGAACTAGTAGGGTATATATTAATCATACAACACTGATTAAATAAACTTGTAGGGCATATATTTGTTATACAACACTGACTAGAACTAGTATTATACAACACTGACTAAACTAGTAGGGCATATATTTATTATACAACACTGACTAGAACTAGTAGAGTATATATTTATTATACAACACTGACTAGAACTAGTAGGGCATATATTTATTATACAACACTGACTTGAACTAGTAGGGTATATATTTCTTATACAACACTGACTAAACTAGTAGGGCATATATTTCTTATACAACACTGACTTGAACTAGTATGGTATATATTTATTATACAACACTGACTTGAACTAGTATGGTAAATATGTATTATACAACACTGACTAAACTTGTAGGGCATATATTTGTTATACAACACTGACTAGAACTAGTATTATACAACACTGACTAAACTTGTAGGGCATATATTTGTTATACAACACTGACTGGAACTAGTAGGGTATATATTTACCACACTTACGAGAATACGAACGTTTATATCAAGTAGGGCTTTCCGGAATCTCATCTAAAACTTAATTACTATCTGTTATTGTCCTTGTAATTAAAAGATCCCTTGATATTGAATTCGCTAAATCGTGATTTTTGAAATCACGCAGCTACTTAACGCGAGATTGATTTGTTACGCGTTATCACGTGGTATCAATGGACTGAACGCTAGCGACAACCAATCACAATCAGTATAACTGGTAACTAATTTAGTTTGACAGTCGTGTTGCGATTAGGAAGCGCTGTTTCCGGCACTCTGGTGAAATCGCTACTCCCATTTTAAATAAACGTCATTTGCGGCAACAGGATAATTACATTTGTAAATGATTTCATATTGTAAGCCAAAGTATAATTGTTTTTATATTTCAATTGATAATATATATGCCAGATATTATTAATAATATAGCCCGTTCCCGCAATCTCATGACCCCGGCATATTCGCCTGGTGCTTGCAGCCAAAGGAACATCATGAAACCAGATTTTTATTTGGTAAGTTGTCGTCGAGACTTGAGGTATTTTAAAATGTTCATGTCTGTCTTTCAATTCTCCGCTAACGACAAACCATAATCTGTAAAATAATTTATTCATGTAAATATTTTAAAGCACTCGTATGGATCGCTTGAATCATACATTATCGGTGGCTGCTTGGCGGAAATTGGCTAAAATGAAACAGTCTTGTCATTTCCTGCAGATATATTAAATTATTGATATTAAATGGCGTACACAAGACGTTGTTTTGGGAAAATATACCTCTTGAATTGTATAAACTCAGTATTAACTTATCTAGTGCTGACATCCGACTCAGACCTTTATTACTAACATATATATTCTATATCGAATAGACGTGTTTTACAAGAAGGTATTGCCCCCTAAAAACATGGTAGTAATCATCGTTATGACGGAATATAATTCATGATAAGGCTTCGTTCAAGTCATTTCTATCATTAAGTCACTAATTGGCTCAAGGTTTGCACGATAATAAGGAAAAAAACTGTCCACGAAAAAAATTAAGGGATACAAAAGTCTAGAATTTATCACTTTCACAATGATTCTTTTATGGTTTTATTGAAATGAAAATAAATTCAAAAAAGTTAGGCCGCATGGATTGCTTTAAATTGCTTTAAAATGAATAAATGAAAGAAGCGCTCACTTGGCCGTTTCCCTGCGGGCGCTACAGCATACTGTGACGTCATTTCTGAACCACACTTTAGTCACTCTATTCGTGTATAAGTACTATTCTGAACCGCCGTGAATACAAAATACTATGGTACGCTTCTGTGTAGTTGACTGCAACAATGACTCAAGAGAAAACTCAAGAAGGCTTAGATGCTAGTCAATTACCAGTGGCAAAGACCTGGGAGGCAGATGGTTAAATAAATGTGGCAAATGAAATAATTTCACATTATCTCACACGCAATTATGCAACCGACGCGTAAATACAGTAGCATCGTATAAACTTACAATCGACTGTAAAAGCAAATAAACAAAAATTGCAATGTTAAATATATATATTACATCACCCCCCCCCCTCTATAAAGCGCCAATAGTCCATACGGCGTCTTACTATTCGTTGAATTACTAGTATGTTGTTTTCTCTGCCAGAACTGCTTTTGTGAACACACTGAATTCGCCGCACTTCTATCATGAAATATAGTGGGAGTTCCAAGTATCAGCCATGATTCTGTGTACGTTATTTTACAATATTTTCAACGCAGGTGTATTGGGCTCAGATTATAAACCATACGCATTCTTTCACACATCTTTGATTGGTAAAACAATGCTGTTTGATTGTTGTCTTGGGTGTCTTGTGGTCTGACAACTAATTTATTAGAAGTACTAGTACTCTCAATAAAGAATATGAATGCAAGTTCTTTTCGTTTTAATTTGTCACCTCTGTGTTTTCTATTTATTAAGCAACATATCGATATACAACGAATAAACAAGTGAAAGAAATAGAAATACTGGTTACAAAATTATAAGATGTTCAATACGGAAAAGCGTTGTCATTAAAATTAAAGCAGATGTAGACAGATTTGTCTGGCACCT